AATTCACGAGAATTTTCTGTCCAAGAAGCTCGGAAACAAGGCAAATGCTCCTGTTTCCTTTTCAGTCGTTTGATCTTTGAAAAAACAGCTTGAAACTGAGAAAAATTCGTGAAAATTTGAAACCGACTTCTCCAAGTCCCTTAACAAATTCGATGCCAACCTTTCAGTTGCCAATAGTTGTCAGACGAAAACGGGTTTCTTTTTTTCACGGAGATGCCAAGACGAAATTCTTGTTGACCGTGGCCTGAAATTAATTTTCTCTTTCCAAAATTCCACTTCTCTTCCTTTTCGCCCTTTGAAACCACAAACAAACACGCATGTGAATCCCTTTCTTTTTAAAAATCACTTTTTTAAAACATTCCGATTAAAATCTTGTCAAAATAAGCTTATTTGTCTCTTTTTGATGAGAGATCAAGTGTTGAAACATCAAATTTAGCATTCTCTCACTTCTTCTTTTGGTTTAAATCAGATTTTCGAATTTTCGAAAGGTTTCTCACCGCTTTGATTCCTCTCATGAGATCGATTTTTGGGGAAAAATAGTCGAAAGGTGTTAGAAATATGGCAAAAAAGAAAATGTACCGAAGACGTCAGAACCAGGAAAAAAGGTCAAACGCCACTTGATGACGTGAAGATCAACTAAACGTTTGGCAACCTATTTATTCGTCATTTTGCTTTTTTTGGTTCATTTTTTCACTTATGGTTTCTGTTTTGGTTTCTCGCAGCTTTCATTCTGTTTTCTTGTTTGTAGACTTTGAATTTTTGAAAAAAAATTTTTTTTTCATTTTCCCAAGCTTCATCCTTTTTTTAAGATGTAAACCGTAAACTTTTGTTTTAAAATTTCGTTGACTTATTTTTAAAAATTAATTGAAGTTCTACAAAAGCCCAAATATAGATAACGTTCCTTTTTAAAGGTCTGATTCATCAAGATTATTGGACTTTAAAAAAATTTTTCTTTAGTTTTTTTCAAAATATAGATCCTCGAGGAAAAAATATTTTAATTCTAACTTTTTTAGTACTTTTTCATGTCTACTAAATGCTCTTACATTTTTCATTCCGTTTCAACTTTTCTCGAAGAATTTTTTTCGTTTTATGTCTTGTTGACAGCTTCTCGTTGACTCGAACTCCATACCAATCGGATCAAAGGAAGTTTACCGATGGGGCAAACTTTCCAAACAATGGCAACTGGTAACTGGAGCGAGCAATACTAAGAATCTGACATTGAATGGCCGTTGACGTTTCCGAAAAGTTGGCAAATAAACCATCTGTGTGTTCCAGCTTCTTACTTCTGCTTTTCAATTTTCTCGGCGGTTCAAAGTATACACGTCTTTCTCTTGAATCCAAGAAGGAAAAAAAGAGATTTTTTTAAATTTGAAATCTCATATTTCAAAAATATAAAATCCTTGCTTAAGCTAAATATTCCAGACGTCATTGTTAGAAAGGCTGCTAACCCCGGAAGAAATCTCTAAATTTCTTTTTTCAAGCTTGCTTTTTGTCTCAAATTGTTTTCCTCCTGACTTCGAGAGCTTCAAAACTCAGTTGTCTATTTTTGCAAGCTTTTCTACAAGTTTTTATCGATGAAAAAATTCTTCTCCCATTTTTTCTTTCAAGTGGAGCATCGTACTGCGAAAGTTAAAAAAAATGATTATTCATTTTTTGGGAGAATGTTCAGTGGCCACTATAGAGGTCTAAGTGCTACTACTAGACTACTAAAAATTTCAGTGGCCACTTTAGGGATCAATGGATCAACATAACTAGTCCAAACTGTTTTTTTTTTGAAATTATCAGAGTTACGGGGAGTAATACTGGATGAAAAATTACTGAAGTGGCCACTAAAACGGTAAATACTGGCCACTATAGAGGTGGGTTTAATGGCCACTTTAGTGTCCTCTTCAAGTAGTGAGCCTCTATAGTGGTCACTAAACATTTTCGCAGCTGTCCCCCAAGAAATGTTGTTTCTTCGAACTCTTCAGACTCTAAATCACGCAAAGGTCCAAAATAACTCTTTCCCATCTCATAAAATCTTCATCCCTGATCCTTTTTGACACATGAACCTTCGTCTTCAACACGTGAGGTTTAATTCTCGTGGGAGGACAGTCGATTCAAAGACTTTTTTCGCTTTGCCTTGGCCTTTTCCTAAAAAAACGACCGCGAAACGGTCTTTCGTCGCTTTTTTTTGTCTCACTTTGCGACGGCGGATTTGCTCTCAAGTCAAACACCTGGAATTGGTCTTTTTTGCCCCGACTTTCTGCGGCTCACCAGAAAAAAAAAGCAGGCAGTTATTCGATGCATTCGAAGGAAATAATTGGCTGTTATTGAAAGGAATGTTTTTTGCTAGCTGTCGCAGAAATACCTGAGTATTTTGGATTTTGCTATGGAATTGCAAATTTGTTTGTCGTCGTCGGGGTCAAATGCATGTCTTTTTCAGCTTTAGGATACTATTTTTGTCCTTTAGTCCAGTAGATGAGTCCGAAGTCTTTAGCGAGTCTTTGGAGTGAGTCAGAGTTGCAATCAAATTCCGCCTCGATTGCCCATTTGAATAGCCTAAGTGACCATTAGGAACGCTTTCTGGCAAAACTATTGCTCTTTTGAGAATGTTCAGTGGTTACCAGAGTGACCAGTTTATAATTTATGAAAGTAAAAAAATGGAGATGACAAAAGTTTTTTTATTCTTCTGATTTTTTTAATTTTTGAAAAAGTCAAGCTTCATTTTAGTTTTGGAAAAAGAAGCAAAAAGTCTCAATTATAAGATCATTTTTCAGTTTCTTGTCTCAACTTGTAGTTAGACCATCAATCGATACTAAAAAAGCTTTAAAAATATTTTTCCCCGAAAAAGTCACTTAGCTTACTATGTTTTATAAACTGGGAAACTTTTTAGTGGCCACTATAGAGGCTCTCCAAGGACTACTTGGAGAGGACACTAAAGTGGCCACTAAACCACCCTCTATAGACTATAGTGGCCACTATTTTCCGTTTTAGTGGCCACTATAGTGGTTCTCTATTTAGTGGCCACTTCAGTAGTTTTTCATCCAGTATTCCTTCCAGTAACTCTGATAATTTTAAAACAAACAGATTGGACCAGTTATTTTGATCCATTGACCCCTAAAGTGGCCACTAATTTTTTTTGCTTTCTAGAAGGAACACTTTGACCTCTATAGCGGCCACTAAGTTCTAACCCCTTAAGTGGCCACTAATTTTACAACTATAGTGTCCCAATGAAAAGTGAAAACCTTATAGTGGCCACTAAAAGTTTTCCCAGAAACCTTTGAAACTTCTCATGGTTGATATATCGTCACGAAATGGCCTTCTGCGTTCATAATTTGTGTACCTTTGATTTATGGACAGAGCTCAGCAAATGAAAAATTGCTGACAGAAGTCATTTTTAAGACAAGTTTTCTTATAAAATTCCAACTTTTTTCTACTTTTTCCCTTCCCTTTTCAAAAATCGGCTTCAACTTTTGTCAAATAAATTGGATCGAGCCTTGAAAAACAGAAAAATAACCATCAAATCCGTCCGTCCGTCCGGTTCAGTTGCAATGAAAAGTTGTTTTTGTCGATGGCTCTCTTTTTATAGCCTCATGCGGCTTTTTTGGTCTTTTTCTGTGTAGACGGATTGAATGAATATTTTCATTCGAAACGTGTCATTCTGATTTTTGTCCTCTATGAAGTCCAAAGTTTCGTGTCTGTTCCGGGAATGTTTTTTTTCGGGAACTTTTTTCACTTTCTCATGAGATTTTTCTCAAAGTCTGATCCTTTATAGTCTTACGCCTTCAGGCATGTATACTTCTTACTATGATCCGATTATTCCCCGCAAATTTTTTCTTCAAAATGATTTTTAAAAAAACTCAAATTTTTCTGTAGGATGAAAGGATTAATAATTCCAAAAATGGCCTTGCAAATCTTTTTCCTTTTTTTGGAAGCTTAAAGGAAAAGACCTGAAAAAACCAGTTATTTTCCAATCAATAAGTAAAAAATGTCTTTATTTTACAAATTCTCAGAAGCTCTAAGAACAAAAGTTCTTTTTGCAAGAACGGGAAGTTCGGTGAGAACTTGGATTTCTGAAAAAGAAGATGATAATTATGTTAAAAATTACAATGTCTAGCGCCGTCTATGATTAGAATAATGATAGAGGTTTGCAGTTTTTTTCTTCAAAATCTTTTTTTGGATGAAGCCTAATAATTATACTTTTTTTGAGCAGTGATCTGTCATCTATTTTTTTGGGGAAAAAAACCATCAAATATGAGGGAAATTTGTAGGTAATAAGAAGAGGGGGTGGGTCGTGAAATTTATTTTTTTATCCCGAAGTTTCTGATTCGTTTCTGATTAAAGAAAAAAATCTTGGTTTTCTTTGGAAATGGCTCAAAGAGTCACGACTGGGAAGGAAAATCCAACCGCAGCGCGACCGCAACACGATGAGCCATTCCAAATGCGACCAGGAGCTTCCAAGCTTTTTCGAATCAAGTTGAGATACCTTAACTTAATTTTTTTTTCGAAGAAACATGGATTTTTCTAAAGCTCTCGAACTCATGGACATCTAGCCTAATCAGTCTTTTGTCCTCTTCAAGAATCTTCTAAAAGTTCGTTCCAAAGAACACTTTTTCTTATTTTCCGATGAGAAGAAGCCTCGAATCGGAGATTTTCCTCGGCTCGGCGAAAGCCGGAAAAGGGCGGCAGATCAAATCTTGGAGGCTTAATCTCGGCCGTCCAGATGCGAAATGTTAATCGGATGTTCATTTCCATCCCTCCACCCACTTATGTCCATTTTTTTCCCGATCTCTCTCTCTCTCGACATTTTCCTTTGCATGAATACTTGGAATGGGTGATGGGAAGTCTTTCATGCCTGCCATTCGTCGGTTTCTGGTGGCCTTCTCATCTCAAAAACCAAATGGCGAATGTTATCCGGAGCCAACTTTTGTGGACCTTCTTCATTAATATTTCATCTGCCCCATATATATTGAGGCCGGGAAATTCACTCAGAAACTGGATATGTGTTTTCTCAGTCGTTAGTTGGATCTTTGGCTGAGCTTCTGGGTCGTTTTATCATTGGCTTGCTGGGAAAACTTTTTGTAGACGCTATAGGGTTTTGGTGCTACGACAAGAGCGAGTTTTCCATTTGCGAGCAGTACTGTATGCGGTAAAGCGCATTGCGTGCATGCACTCTGCGTGTTTACACTTTTGTGGCGTGACGTCATCGCGCCGTACATCTGCGGGTTTTTTTGCTTTGCGGGTATTTTTCAATGTTTTTTTCGGAATTTTTGGATTTTTCCGGTTTGGTTTTTGATTGTGCGAATATTTTCGAAACAAAAAGAAAACTTTTTTTTTACCTCATAAGAAGGCTCGATTTACCTCATAAGAAGGCTCGATTATGTTAACGACATTGTTTTTCGACTCAATTTTTAAAGCAACAAGAAATCGCAAAGGAAGTTTTTGGCGAAAAAAAGATGTCCCTGCTCCTCCACCCTCAACACCGGTGTTGTACTAAAATCCAATTTTCGTAAAATTTCTGACAACTCCCTTCAAATCTTTCAATGTAATTTAAAATATCTTGAAGATTTTTCTGGGAAAATGACTTTTTGTTTGATATGATTTTTTTCTGTAAAAAAATTGTTATTTTTCTTATTTTTCTTATTTTTTTGATATAACTTATTTCAATTACTGGTATTTGTTATGATGCAATTGTTTGATATTTTTCCTCTTTGAAATATCAATATTAGCTTACTTCTTTTTTTCTATATTTGTGGAGTTGACCTAAAAGCTATCTATAAAGAAACATTTTCCTAAGCTGCCCCCTTGACAAACAGAGTTTTTCATCAATAAAAAAAGTTTTCTTTTTTTGTTTCGAAAAACAAATAAGCCGGAAAAAAATTCAAAAAAATCCGAAAAACCCGCAAGCAAAAAAACCCGCAGATGTACGGCGCGATGACGTCACGCCACAAAAAGTGTAAACACGCAGAGTGCATGCACGCAACGCGCTTTGCCGCATACAGTACTGCTCGCAAATGGAAAACTCGCTCTTGTCGTAGCACCAGGGTTTTGACGTTTTAGTGGTCACTATAGTAGTTAAATTAGTGGCCACTTGAGGGGTTAGAATTTAGTGGTCACTAAAGAGGTCTAAGTGGTACTACTGGCCCCTTTAGGAGTCATTGGGTCAACATAACTGGTCCACTAGGTTTGTTTTAAAATTGTCAAAGTTACTGGAAAAAATACTTCATGAAAAACTATTGAAGTGGCCGCTAAATAGAGAACCTCTAGAGTGGCCACTAAAACGGAAAAATAGTGACCACTATAGAGACGGGTTTAATGGCCACTTTAGTGTTGGTTTTCAAAAAATTTTTTTTTATCTACCGATTATGCTGATTCATGTATAACCATTAAAAAAAGTTAGGATTGAATTTTAAAAAAATATTAATCTGAACTCACCAGACAAGACACCGAAACTCTCAAAAAAATTGAAATTTTTCGTTTGAATTTGAAATTTTTTTCCACGAGTTCCTTTTTTTCAATCCTAAACTTTTTTTGCAAAAACGACAAAAAACTTATTTTCTTCATTGAAAACAAAAGGTTGAGAGAGAAGGTTTTTTTCAAGCTCTAATGTTTCCTGCAAAGTAAAAAAAAAATCGAAATCAAAGAAAAAAAATTTTTTTTACTTTTTCCGATTGCTTTTCAATGACATCTTACAACAAAATTTCACCAAACTCATACTTTTCAATCTCTAAAACGTCCTGCAAAGACAAGAAGCTCTGACAAGTCAAAGCTGCCTCGCGAACCAGGTCCCTCCCTTTCCTTCTCTGAATGGAGCCCGGAGGCGCACTCACCTGAGCGGTTTCCCCGGAAACCGGAGCTCTCCACGTCGTCTGGACGGCTCTTCTCTGTCGTCGCACGTCGTCTCTCATCTCTCTCTCTTGCATGTCGATCGAATGGGCGGAGCCTATTTGGAGGCTCCGCGAGCCCTGGCCGTTATGGCCAAGGCTTCAATATTCTGGCGCTCTCTCCTCTTTCCGGGGCCAAACCAACTTTTCTGAGGATTTCGTCTTGTTTTTTTTTTTGCTTTCTCTTTTTTTTGGGTTTTTTTTTTCTCACGATCGGAATTTTCAACAGCTTCAGCTTGAGAATTTTGCCGATTTTTTGACTTTTTGCTTTTTTTTATTCGAAGTACTCTTCGTTACTTGAATTTTCTGAACAAATTAGTGAATTAATTTTTCTGCTCATAGAAGATTTGGAAATTTTAAAAATATCCTTTGATTTAATGAAAAATTCGATCTGATAAAAAAAAATTTTTTTTCAAGGCTCAAAATTTTCTTTCGAGAGGTCATAAACAGTGTAATTTTCCTCCTTTTTTTAATAAATTTTTTGATTTTTCCTTTTAATTGATTTGAAAGATTTAAAAAAATCCTTCCTTAACCTTTTTTCTTTCAAATTTTTCCAATAAAAGTGCAAAGTTCAAGCTCAAAAAACAGCTCAAAGAAGCTCTACGTGACCCTCCTAATTACTTTTTTCCACCTAAAAAAGAAACTACCACGTTCACGCATGTTAATTACGAGAAACGTTTGAAAAAAGAAGTTTCTTCTTTTTTTTTCTGCAAGACATGTTTTGACAAGAGTTTCCGAGTTCATGTGGGTGGCACAAAAACACGCAATTTTCCCCAGGGATCTTCTTTTTTGGACCACTTCTGATGGAGATTTATTCGAGCTGAAACGCCTTGTTTCTTTCTTTCTTTTTTCGCTATCTTTTGCCTTTTCGAAAGACTCTTTTCTCTACGAATAATAGACGCAAAAAGGCTTTCGATTTTGAGTTTAGCCTTGGATAAAAGACTCGTTTTGAAGGAAATTTAGGAATCGAAGATGGAAAACTGTCCTCTGGGTATTGTTGAATGTTACTGTAAGATCTTACTGTAGGAAAAACGAAAACTCCACCGTAAGATTTTATCATTATTTCCAGTTCTTTGTAAGTAAGAAAGAGTGAGTAAGACTTTCAGCTTTTTTTAAAAAAAATATGAAGAACTTCAAAAAATTCATTAAAATGGCTGAAAGATTATAAAAATCAAAATTTTTTGAAAAATCTTCGCTCAAATTTTTTTGTACTTTCGCTGTTTTTTTATCATTAAAGAGAAAAATTTTTTTGTCAAGTAAATGATTAAAAACCAAGAAATCAACGCTATGATTCATTTTAAACGCAACCACGATGTTTTTTTTTTTTGAAAACTCTAATTATCGTTCAAAAATAAAAATGAATTTGAAATCGCATCTCTAGAAACTAGAATCGCCATGCCCAACCCATTCATCATTTCCCAATTTATGCACGCTCAATTCATTCTCAAGTCAATATCTCACGAATGAATGCCGTGAGGAAGTGGCACTCCTCCTGTAACTTCCTTGACGTCCGTCTTCTGATCCGAAAGCCCTAATTTGAAGCCGAAGCCTGACTTCTTTGCGTGTCTGGGGATAATCAATTCCTTGGCGATTTTGTGGCAAAACACAACTTGCGTCAGGACTTGTTTTATCTCAAAGCCCTAGGCTTTTCTGAAAAATGGAAAATAGAAAGGGCACGTGGACGGATCAGAAATTGGAGAGAACAACAATTATGTGATTAGCTAGAAAAAAAAAACCTCAAGGGGTTTTTTTTTCTGTGGAATGAACTTTGATCAAGGAAAGTTAAGGATAAGCTTAAGTTTGATGTTGAAAGTTGGGAACTATTTTGGGATTTTCGTGTATTTTCATTAAAGTTATTGACTTCATTTACGGAGAACTTGTTGGAAGGATTGCAGGTATAAAAAATCGCCCCAAATAAAGGCTAAAGGCCGCACGAGGAATTGCTTGACGCGGAACGGCTGCGAAGCGGTTTCCAAATGCGCACCCGACCCTAAAAATTCGAATCTTTGCAGAATATTTTATATAACTGGGAAAATTTTAGTGGCCACTATAGAGGCTCGCCGAGGACTACTTGGAGAGGACACTAAAGTGGCCACTAAACACACCTCTATAGTGGCCACTATTTTTTTTTAGAGGCCACTTCAGTAGTTTTTCATCCAGTATTCCTTCCAGTAACTCTTATAATTTTAAAACAAACTGATTGGACCAGTTATGTTGATCCGTTGACCCATAAAGCGGCCACTAAAATTTTTTGTGGTCTGGTAGTAGCACTCAGATCTCTAAAGAGGCCAGTAATTTTTAACCTCTTAAGTGGCCGCTAATTTGACTATAATAGTGGCCACTAAAACGTCAAAACCCTATAGTGGCCACTAATAATCTTCCCAGATTTTTACTCTAACTGCTGAATGCCATTTTAGCTATAAGATATTTTTTAAGCGCAACGCGGCTGCGACGCTTCAAGCCATTCCCAGTGCGACCACGGCATTTCTAATAAAGTTTTGTTGCCGGAAAAAAAGTTCTGTTCTGCTGACTACTTTACTGAACTCCAAAATAAATTTTCTTACAAAATTAGGCCATTTATAGTAGCGCCAGATAGAGTTGAACCTTTGATGAAGAGTTTCCAAAAACTTGGCCTTTTTCCAAATATCCTCCTTAAATTTTTAATTTTTAATTTTTCTTCTGCATTCACTACCTATTTCAAAGTTTCCCCATTTTTCACCACCCTTATTTCCCAAATTTACTTGAAAAATCAAAGTTATTGTCCGCCGGACGACGCTTTCTTCCCTTTGTGCCTGGTTTCTTTGTTGCAAAACTTCGTTTCTTCGAAAAATTTCCGTCGTTTTTTGATTCAAACATTCCAGAATCTCCTCGGAGCTTGATGACGTGCTGAGTGGAATGTTTTCCATCATCAACCGCAATCCCGACGCTTAATTAAAAAAAGAGGATTTTTTTCGTTTCATTACGCTGGTGCCACTCAATAGTATCATATGAGGAGTTTAATGAGCTTTTTCTATGAAATTCGTGCAGAAATGAACAAGGAGACCTCCATTTTTTCCAGATTCTTTTGGGTAAACCAGTTCAATGTTTCTCCACATTAATTTAGAAAGGTCAGAATCTAGAAGGCTCGATCTTTTTGGAGAAAAAATGTATAGTCAATGTTTCCGGACTTAAAAGACGAGGGCGGCGGGGCCGGACGCGTAGCGTGTGCGTACGCGGTTTTTGGCACGAGTTCAATTTAACCGTCATCGATTGTTTGGAGAGCTCGTTGATCGCTCTTTTCATTTCTTTGGTTATTCATGGATTTTTTTTCATTTCTGCATCAAAAAATTGTAGAATCGACACAAAAAGAGCGACAAACGAGCTTTTCGAATAACCAGTAGCGCTTGAATTGAACTCGTGCCAAGAACCGCGTACGCACACGCCACGCGTCCCGCCCCCTGCCCCGCCTTTCTCGCCTTTCAAGTCGGGAAAAATTGAGTATAACCAACATTTTGATTTGAAACGTCTCATTCGCACGTTGAATGGCTCGTTGCGTCGCGGTCGCGTTGCGGTTGAAGCGAATTGAAGCGAAATTCCGGAAAATTCGTTCTCAACTAGGAAACAAAACAATTTTTTTTACTACAACATAGTTCAGAAAAAAAAAATGCAAAAAAGACCTAAGCCTTCAAAAAAAAAGCTCCTAACTTCATATTTTCAAAAAAAGTTCCTATCAATCTGAATTCCCTGCGGTGCAAATTAATTGCAAGTCCACGTGAGCAATCATTTTAATATTTCTTTGAAAACTCTGCTGGGAACACATTTTCCTTTTTTTTTCTCTTCTGAGTCATTCCACATGACCGTAGACTAGTTCCAAATAACAGGAAATTAATCTAACTCGGCTCCAGGAAATTTCCTTTTTTTTTAAAGTTTGGTTCTGCCTCCGCCTTGTGATGAAAAAATGTGTAGTCGGAAAATTTTTGATCAACGACGTGCTGTTCAAAATCGGCCCTCAGAGACGGATTTTCAGAATTTTTTCAATTTTCCAGGGGGCTATAAAGTTATTGAAATTTCAAGAAAAAAGGTTTCAAAACTCCGGAAAAATCTCATGGGATTTTAGGAATTAAAAGTTGAAAAACTTTTCAAACATTCAGTTCTACATGTTTGATACTTTCTCATAAAAGTATTTTTTTCAAAAAAACATTTTTTTAAAAATCAAAACTAAAAAAATCTTATCCATGGAGCACATAATCTCATTTTTGGGGGCAAATCTTTTTCCCGCTATTTCTTCAAATATGTTCACATTACAAGCTTATGCTTCAATTAAGGATTTCAGTGAATTTTTATTTATCAACTTTTTTCTTTTCGGTTTCTTCAATCTTTTGGCTTTTATTTTTTTCTTGCTCGATTCTTTGATTTTTTTCGCTTAGAAACATGATAATTTTGCAGGAAACTTCTCGATTTAAAAAAATAATCAAAAAAATTAATCTGGTCATTTTTTTCCAAGCTTTGAAGTAGTTTTTTTCTCCCGTTTTTTTCTTCATTTTTTTCTGACCGAGCCTCTTCCAATTTTTCAGTTAAAAACTTCTTCAAGGATCACCGAATCAACCTGTCAAGATTATATTTCACCCCTCCTTCAAAGGTTTTTCTTAGTTTCAAGGCATATTTCGCTTTTTTTCCCCCAATTTCCATGACTGAAGTCCCTCCTATCTTCCTTCTTAAATCAGTTGGAAACTCTGAGGCGTTCGGAGTCACCGAAGATTGCCATGGCGAAAGTCGCGCGGGCGGTTGCGCACGCAAGTGGAATTCAATTTGGGTGTGCTCGGCTTCCTGCGCCGTCGTCGTCGTCGTCCGATTTGCCTTTTTCTTTCTTTTTTCTTCTTTTCTCATCACTAGGCCCGGCTCACCTGCCCTCCTTGCACCTGCATTTCCTAAAAAGCCCTGAGAAAGCCTTCGAATATCGATGAATTCTCAAATAAGGTCCTTTTGGTTGTCATTGGGGGCTCCGATGGTAAGTATCTGGATAGGAATGGAATGAAAACATGGGTGGAAAAAGAACGCAATTAAAAGAAAATTGTGGCTGCCGATGGCTGTTGACACGTCGGAGCTGATGGCAATTCTCGCTCAATTCTTTTAATTCTTAGGGCGCTGACGACGCAAATTTCGCACCCCCTCAGCCAGCTTCATTCCGTTTCTTTTTCTCTTCTTTTTTCTTCTCTTCATCTTTATTGGCTTCGTTTGGGTTTTAAGGGTCTACTGATCTGTTTTTTTCGAAATGACGAGCGTCAGGAAAGTTAGCTGTGAAAATCTGGGAACTTAGTTTGAAATCTCTTTATCCTGTTCTCAATCGGAATGGCTCGAAGCGTCGCGGTCGCGTTGCGGCTTGGTTTAAATTCAAAAAAGAGTTCAGTCTTCACTTTTAAAGCTCAATGTTAGCTCAATGCTTTCCGATGTTAACGTGCGCAAACCGTTTCAAGTCGGGCGTTTGTCTGAATCGTCTCAAGCCAAACGAGTCGACCCCTTCCACGTAGGGAGATTGTATCATAACGAATAAAATTCAAAGAAATTATGATCGAAAGTTTTTTTGGAAAGGACACTTTTTATTCAAAGCTTTTTTTAACCTACTCTCATTTCTGGAAAAAAACGTTTGCAAGATTTTACAAGTTTTTTTTTTTTAATTGAAGACTTTATCAGACTTTTCTTAAATTGAGAAAATAACGAAACAAGAAAGAAGTTTGGGAATTTTCCAACAAAAAATGCTTCCTTTCACTCTTAATTTTCTGATTCTTCCCGTTTTTCCTGTCTTCCTCTTTCTATCTTTCATCTTTTTCTTCAGAAATTCGCCAAATTGATACCGATGACCGGAAGCTCTTGAACCCATTGAAACGGCAGCCCCTTGAAGGCATCTGTCGCTTTTTTCTCATTCTTTCCTTGTAGTATCAAAATCAATTTTAGCTGCATTTCAATATCTTTCTCATAATCTTTCGGAACACCTGCAAAACTTTCAGAGAAGAATAAAAGGAAATTCAGGAAGTGAGTGATATCATTGAGAAGCTTATCCTTATCGGAAGGCTCTCATGGATTAGAAATTGATAATTTTTATCATTTTCATCTTGATTCAAATAGGAAGTCATGCAATTTACTGATGTTCTTGAAACGTTGAAAATTGATCTTTTGTCGCAAGTGAGAAAAAAGCTTGTATTTCTGTAGAGCACAATTTCGCTCAAAAAAAACGCCGCTACGATTTTTTTTTTCTTGTTTTTCGATCTTGACTTATTTTCAATGTATGGTTGTTTTCCGTACAAATGAAAAATTGAAGTACATAGGTTAAAAGGGCAAAAAAACATCGTTGAGAAAACTTTCCGCTTCAAGACCTTCGTCTATGCTCCTTTAAATTTTCCGACGAAAATACTTCCAAGAAAATATAAAACTTACAAGTCATTTTCCCAAATAGCGTCAATTTTTTTAAGTCAACTATAAGAGAAAGTCTTCCTCTTTAGATAAAAAAATGTTCCTTTCCAGGCAAAAAAATCTGACCCCCCCCAAGTTCCTCCTCATGTTTCATTCCGAAACCATGAATCATTCAGTAGGACCAACAAAGTACACGAAAAGGAAGAAGGCGTTTCGGAACGTGGTGGCCGTGGCACTCTTGCAGGGCATTAAGCCGTGGGACCAGCCAGCTCATTAGCATAAGCGAGTTATGGAGCGGCGTGGAGCCCCCCGTCTGTCCTCCACAATGTATCCGACGTGACCCCTGCTTCTCGTTCATCCAATTTTCACACCATCTTCTGTCTATCTAGATTCATTCGCGACCAAAGTAGAGATGACATTGATTCATCCTTTATTGCAAGCTTGACAGTTTTCGCGTGTCTGCGTCTCTCTGTTCCCTCACCTGCGAGGTCAGAGAAACATGAAAAGAGCACGTCAACATAAGAGCGTTGCCGAGAGACGAGGAGGGCGCAGAGAAGTCACCTTTATGACTATACCAGAGATATTTCTTGACAACTATTTTACGGAGAGTCTGATTTTAAAACTTTCATAATTCAAAGTTCTGCCCTCAAAGTTGAAAAAAGTCAATTTTTCCTTTTTTCCAAGTTTTGGACTATACTTCCTTCTCTCAAAAACTGTATGACCTACCTGCACTCTCTTTATCTCTCGCTCTTTTTTCCGCTTTAGGATCTTACACACTATTTTCATCCTTCTGCAACAGTGAGAGACAAGAGGGCACAGAAAAGTCAGACAGTTGAGGGAAAAAAATTTTGAAAAAAACTTTTTCGAAAAAGTTCAGTATCTCATGAAAAGCTTAAATGAGTTTAGAACAGATTATCTAGAAAAATTGGAAATTAGAACTTGGTTCTAATCGTCTGTCATCTGTTTTCGAAATTTAGAAGCCGAGCACAATAAAATCCCACAAGATCCTAGTTCTCATATAGTCTGTATGCCAGGACTTGGAAATTCACGGAACGACATTCCGCTGTTCCGCTGCGTGCGTTTGCGAAGCGTCTTTCGAATCTAAGTCACGCTCTACAATTGATTGTTATTGCTGTGGGAGCACATGAAAGTAGAGTACCTTAATGAAAAAAAAAATAATTAAAGGCGCGAAGAAAGGTTCGCAAAGGCGCGCAGCGGCACAGCGGAATGTCGTTCGGTGAAATTTCAAGTCGTGGCACACAGACTACATTTTTCCTTGTCTTTCTTTTTTCCTCATCCTTTCGAGCCTTGTCGAACAACTACTTCCTTATTCCTCTCAACGACTACGAAAATCTCAAAAATGCGAGAACAAACCTATTTTTTTTTCGGTGAGCAATCAAGGGGCTATTTACACTTGAATGCTCGCAATTAAACGCCCTTTCGTGGGCATTTTTTTCAGTCATACAGGCGATTTGTCTCTAGGATTGCCTCTTCATCTAATTTGTTATTTATTTTTTGCAGTCGTTTCTTGAAAGCCTCAAAGATTAAAAAAGTATACCTTTTTGTAGTTCTGCGAATTGACGTCAGTTCGCTTTCTTATTTGCGTTATATTTTCGTAATTTTGTAGTCTGTCTTTTGGTTTTTTATTATGTTTTGAAAATTTTGAAAATCGCTGAAGAACCTCAATATCTCCGTATCGATGAAGGGACCATTAAAAAAACCTTGGGTGTGTTGTTTTTTTTCTCAGTTTTTTGATTGTTTTCATAAGTATACACTCTTGTCTGCACATTATTTTTCTTGTTAGAAGTTTCCATGGTCGCACGTGGAGTGGCTCGACGCGTCACGGTTGCCGAGTGGTTACTTTAAAGTGCGCCCGACCAGAAACGACTTGAGCATGTTAGTATCAAAAATGATCAACCGCGAAAATTTTAAACATTTCATCTGCGACTCTAGAAAGAGGAACTTGAGCCTAAAAAGATTAATTAGATTTTTGAACACTACTACCATATAATATAAAATTATAGATTTCTGAGTACTACTACCGCATAATATTTCATACTTCATTCAACTTTGAAATTGGGATTTTACATAGGCAAAGTCGGAAGGACCCTCCGAGGGTCCATAAAGGACCATAGAAATGTTCCTTTTAGGGTGATGAAGGCTCTCTTTTTGCTGCCTTTTTGCTCCATTTTCTCAGCCCTTATGCACCATTTTTGCTGCCTCTCCCTTTCTCAACCATTTCTCGAGCCTCTAAAATCCCAGAAAAATGGAAGGCTCGTTAAAGGGAGTCTCTTTGCTGCCTTTCTGCGGCCTTTTTTGAGCCTCTCCCTTTTAGCAGCCATTATCCACCATTCCGACTTTGCCCGAGTATGTTGAATTTTCCATATTTTTATTAGCTGCTCCTATAACTAAAACTGGATTCACACTTTAGGAACTTCTTTAGAAAAATTTTATTTTCAAACCATTCAAGCCTCAATTTTTTATCGATTTTTATGAACTTTATTAATATTTCACGTTAATTTCGAAGAACAAAAAAGTATTTTTGATGATTTTTCAAGCCAGGCTGGCAAAATGTTTGCACCTGGTAAGGGAAAATTCATAAAAATATATAAAAACTTCTCTGCGTCTCCTTGGTACATGTGCTATCTCGCGACAGACTCGTGTGAGCTGATTCGATATCAGACATGTCAAAAGTTCCTTTCAAAAAAAAGAAAGAACTTCTCTTTTTCTCACATTTCCCACCTGATGACTAACCATTATCCTCATATCCCCTGCGCATCACCTCAACTTCTCTGCGTCTCCTCGGCTCTCATGCTCTCTCTGCTGACTTGGGCGTGTCCCGAGCGCGGCGCCAGCTCCGGTCGCCTATGGCGACGACCTGCCCTCAGCAGCTCTTTCCGCTCCATTTGTCTTCTCCTTGTATTGACCGCCTTATCAGTTGCTTTTCGTCACGAGACTCTCAGGGCTTCTACCGTAACCCTCTCCTCATCCATTTACATTTGCCTCCTTCTGCGTGTTTATGACGTTCATCCAAGGGAGGCTCGTGAAACTTTTTCTTTTTCTCTGCTTTCGGCATGGCTTTCAATTGCGTAGCCGTTTAGAGTGACGTTGAAACAATTCGAAGCTTATTTTTAGTTTTTGTTTGACAACTGGAAATTTTGAAATTTATATGAAATCTGGTGTTTTATTTAGAGTCGAGGCTTCTTTTAATCGTCCAGAGGAGATTCTGAGCTTTTGATTATTGAGAAAGTTTGAAAAAATTTTTTTTAACTAGTAAAAGCTGGGATATTAGTTTGAATTAAAATGTGCGCCTCTTAAACAATTCGGTTTTAAACCTTCCAGAACGAAGCTTATTTCATTCCAAAATAAAGAACTCTAGATTTTTTTTTTCCACTATGATTTTCACAAGCTGAAACTTTCTTGATTGATAAGAAAAAGAATTGTTCCATCAAGGTGAAAAAATTCAGTTCCTTCATGATTTCTGATTAAAGTTCCGCAGCTGTACCTTTTTACTCCAATCAATTCCTTCTCTCTCTTCATTTCCTCTCATTCTCCCAACTTTTTTCAATTACTCAACGTTGATGAAAGTGTGAAAATACAACTGGAGGCGAAAAATCTGGAAAAAGAGTAGGAAAATGGAATCGATCGTCGGCCGTGTTACTCATGTGCACACCTGAATGAATCGCCCCCTACTTACTAATGTAATTTGAATTTCCGGCTTTTCCCAGTCGCACATTTTTCTCACTTTTGCCTCTTTTCGCTTTTTCTTCTCGAAGGAATGCAATTCTAATTGGATTATCGCGTGCTTTTCTGCTCTTTTTGGGGTTATTGCGTTCCTAGAAGCACTTGAGACCAAAACGTTCAGAGTTTTTGTATTTTATCCGGCTTTTCTACAGAGTATAATCGTTTCTCAAGATTCCGCGGACGCTTATCGTTATTTCAATTTGTTAAAAGCTTTTTCAATATCGAGATTTTCAGAAAGAGCCAAAAACTTATGGGAACAGCCGTTTATTTAGCACTATGCTTCGGCATCGTCCTCGGCTCGGCCAAACATCATCATGCCTTACGTGGTCGGTTTTTCGTCTTTGTTCACTTCATTTAATTATGGAAGATACAGCTTTAATGATTAAAAATCACTAAAAGGGTGAGTGAGTCCTAAAAAGTGATCGATGGAGCAGACTTGCTAACTTTCTGCAAAATTAGAGAAATTTAGTCGTTTTTTCAAATTTTTTTAAAATCTTGATGCCTTTTTAAAATTAACTTTTGAGAACCTCGACCACGTTTCAAATCAGAATGTGCAGCTAGGTTGAAATGTTAAGTTGATGAGTGTAATTGCGTTTGAAATAGAATAAAAAGTTTCAGTGCAAAAATTGTTTTTAAATTTTTTTAGTTTGAGTGAACTATAATTGTTATTATATAATATTTATTTAGTTTTTTTCTGCCTATAAATCCGTTTCAATTTTTTTCACAATGCTTGATGACTGAGGTGAAAAAAAAGGAAAAAAATATTTCAACTAGCTATTAATTTTTTCTCTAACTGTTCATTGTTTTCTAGGTTTTTTTGAGAATTTGCATGGATTAATTGTGGATTGAGATTTAATCATCATCATTTTTCAGCGCCTGTTATCAACCTGCAAGGAGCCGAAGAGCTGATCGCCGTGGTCCGCGAAGATGAAAACATCATTTCGACTGTTCCCGACTTCTCCATTGTTGTGGAAACTGGTTAGTTTTTTTCTCCTTTATTTGACTTCCATTAATATTATATATCATTTCGTATAGCTTTTATATAATTCCCAAACTCTTGCGCTTGCCATTTGAAGAAAAGGAAAAAAAAAAATTAACTATGCGTCGATTGCCCTTGTTTGCCGCGTGGCTCTGCGCCTTTAATTGGCGCCATTAACGGGACGGAGTAGGCGTTTCTCTTTTTTCGGGGGAAAGAGTTGAAAAACTGAAGATTGTTGGAAAAAGTGTGGGAAATGGACCAGGATGTAGGGTCTAGTTCATTTGATTGGTCTGGAGTTTTTTTTTTGTTTGAGAGAAATAATTTCCTGCTTGGTTCGATGGTTGGAGGTGATTCAGCGGAACGTTTCAGTCAAGTTGAAGATTTGATTAGAGAAAGTATAGAGTTTTTTTTTGAAATTCTACGAAAAAAAAACTGCCGAAGAAAGAAGGAAAACGGTTAATTTGTACGAAAATGAAATTTTCAAACTTTTCCAAAATTCAGAGTTTTCCTTTCTTTTAATCAAAATTCACAGGAATTTCATCCTAACCACTTCGAAAATGAAAAAAATTCAAAAATAAAGGCCTTTTGAAATCGTATTCGTGATGGTAAGACTGTTTTCCACTCAACTTTTTGACTTTCTTGAAAAATTTTCGAATTTTCAAATTTCCGTAGTTTTCGATTAAAAAAAATTTAAAAAAAAGATTTTTGATCAAAAACTTGTGTAGAGCCTCGCAAGCCATACTTTCATCTTTGCTTATATTTTTGAATGTCAAAAAACTTTTCCGAGGTTTCTTTTTTCCAAAGTTATCGATAGAGCAACTAATCTCCAGGCGAAAGAGCCGCCTTCTTGAACAATGCCATAAATCATTATTGGGCGTCGGGTTTTGTTTTGTTTTGGCTCGACTTGGCATGGAATGATAGACAGGAAGCGGTCGAGTGTGAATGGGGGCTTAAGTGCGTGATTCACAACAATCGGGACGAGCAAAAGCGTCGCGGGGATTACTTTCCTCGTCGTTTCGTTCCTTTGCTGTCGAGAAAAAACGTGGCCTGGAAATGGCAGCCGTCATTTCCAACTCACTTTTTTCGCGCTACGGGAAAGCTTGGAACTTTGAAAGATCGTAGAAAAAATGTTTGATACTAACAATTGGAAAATAAAGGATGTATGGTAAACCTATGATGATAAGAAAGGGATGATTTTTCTTTGAACCAGCTTAAAAATTTTTTCCATTAGGCGCAGACTGGTTTTGCGCCATTTGGGTTTAGGCTGAGTTGGAAAAAAAATGAGCGTTAGGGTGAAATTTTTCTCTAAATCAAATATGTTGTAAAACCCGACTTTTTAGGATTTTATTTTTCGATTGAAAATGGCTTCCAAACATTTTTCATTTTATATGATTTATTTAAGGGCGCAGGTATTCTGTAAAAACTTAGTTAAAACTAAAAAGAGCTTCGAAAAATTTTTTTTTCATTCTCAAAGAAGGTTCTGTGCTATTTTTCAACACTCGAGAAACAATTTTGAATAATTTTTGAACATTTTTGATATCAGGAAGTTTTTTGAGCGCTTATTGAGAGCTGCGGAGCACGTAGGCGGCTCCAATTGAAAAATAATCCCTTCTACTGTTAGGATGGGCTTCTTAAGGATCGGTTTATTTTAGCGATTCAAAAAAAAAAAGGAGAGTTTTTTAATGTCTTCTCATGGTATAAGCATGAGATGATTCTGCCTTGAGTCATTGAAAAGTGGGTCCTGGCACGGTGAGAAAAAATGAGGGATCATCTAACTGATGGAGATCACAGACAGTGCCACACCCATGCGTGAATGGACTTTATACCGGTTCTTACTGATTTGCTTCATTTATTTGTCACTCAAAACACGGTTTTCATGAAAAAAAAAGTGTTTGGAAAGTTTGGGGAATCGTTGGGGGAAACAGCAAACTTAATTTTGAGATCGATGAGAAATGGGTAATTATTTCCCCCTGGAAAACTTGAAAAGCAGTGGTGTTAAGTAACTGATTTTATTGATCTTTGTTTGCAGGACCGGTGTGCAGTTACCTGGTGACGTCACCCGACAACGAGCCGATTCCTTTCGAAGCTCAACTCGTTGACAAAACCACTGGCGCCGCCATTCTTCGTGTTAAGGTAGAAAGAAAGTTTGAACTTGAAAAAACTCAATCAAAATTTGAAATTTAGCCACTTTCGGTTGATTTTTACTGTTAGAATATTCATTTAAAGGGCCAAAATCTGAAGAAGAATATGAAAAAAAGCCAATTTTTCAGGACGCGGCCACCCTGGACTGCAAAAAGCCCGAGTACAACCTTCAAGTTCAGGCCGTCAAGTGCGATAACGAAAACATTCGCAGCGAGGCGTTAGTTTTTTCTTCTTCTCCTTCCGACAAACTCTCGGCTTATTAACGAGGCAAAATGCAAATTGGCGCGACTTATTTGCAATCTCGAAGGGATTACGGTAGCCAACAAGAGTTGTTACATTGGAAATTACGGGAAGACGCGTATTAAGTGGGGCGTCGAATAATTTTGCCCCTTCTCGACTTTTCGGATTGAGTGGGAGGGGATGAGAATCTTGTAAGGGGTTAGAAAAGGCGAAACCTTCGATGAACTTGGAAAATGGTTGATCTGGATGAGTCCGAAAGAAGTTTTAAAATAGAATTGTACGAAAAAAGGCCTTTAAAAGACCTTCCTAGCTCCTTTTCGTGACTTTTCAGCCGAAAGGTTTTTTTTCAATTCATTTTAAGGCGTGGAAAAAAAGAACTTCATAGGAAGTCCCAGGAAAAAAAAAAGAATAAAAAGCCGATGAAAGATCTTCTCTAGCTTAAAAAAGAAAAAAAGTCTCTTCTAGCTTGAAAAAGGTGCACAGAAGAACTTTTTGCACGTTTTTTTGAGCTCAAAAAAGGTATTTTCTAGCCTTTTAGGATCATTGAAATCAGTAGAACTTCGTCCGAGTAATTTGAATAAATCAAAGTATTTTTTTCCGAAATGGAGACATTTTTTTAGTTGTGTTCATAGAAATGAGATTCAGAAACTTTTTTTCAAATTTTTATTGTTTTTTTCTGCCAAATCAAAGGATGATCTGTTCGAAAAAACGGATCAAAAATCATGAAACTTTTTTTATGTATAGTTTCATTATGAAAATTATACCTTCAGAAAATTTGAAAGTTTAGGTTTTTTTAGAGATAGAATGAGGTCTTCAACAAATTTTTTTAAAAGGTAATTTAAAGTTTTTTTCTTTCCAAAAAAACTTCATTTGTCACTTGAATCAACCAAAAATGACAAGAATCTGTATATACCTGAAAAGGAGGACAATCACTTTGCAGATTTTGAATCAGTCAGAAAGCCTTGAATATGTTGATTGGGATGAAAGAGTTTCAGAGTTTCGTTGAAAGTCCGCGTGAAGGACACCAATAATCACGCGCCGGAGATCGAAAATCCCTGGTACACTTTCCACGTCGAGGAAGGTGATTTTTTGAAGTTTATCATGGAAAATGTAATTTAAAAAAAGGTGATGAGCATATTAATGAGAGAGTTTTTTGAAATGTCTTTTTAAAGCCAACTTTTTCAGTTTTTTCCATGAAATCAAAGCTTTGGAAAGCGACCATATGAATATTTGTGGATACAGGAAAAGTGGTTGACATGATCGGCGTGCTGAAGGCGTCGGACAAGGACTGTGGCCATCCCTTCGGGGAAATCTGCGAGTTCGAGATCACGAATGGCCTCAAGGAGCTTCCCTTCGCTATCAACAACAAGGTGAAAATTCAAAAAAGACCGAAGAATCCGGTTTTGAATTGGCCTTGTCAGGATTTATTTTCCTCCTGTTGAATGCCAAAAAATGGGCTTCACTGAGTAATCCGGTGCTCAAAAGTCACTCCAAATATCCTACAAAGAAATTCATTTTTCTTTTTGTTTGGGAATTTCTGAAAATTGTCCGAAACGCTCCTTGATGTACCAAAAAAAAGTTCCAAAAGTCTCAACCTCCACAAATTCCTAGTTGTTCAGAAAACTTGTTTAAAGTCGAAGAAAATCTCTAATATGAGCAATACTGAGCGATCGCAAGTGATGGGGGTTTTAAAAATTTAGAAAATTGTCTAACATCTTGTGTAAAAGTTTGGTGGAGATTTGTTGATTTTTTGCCGAGATATGGAATTTCGAAGCTTTTAACCGTAATCCTTTAAGCTACCGTATCTCAAAAAAATTAGCCGAGTAAAGATATTTTTGTTTTTTTGTGTAAAATCTTAAAATTCGGGTTTTTTGAAAAATGTTTGATTTAGATAAAAGTTATCGTAACGGAATTTTTTTCAAATCAATTTTTAAAAAGTTAAAATTTGCGCCCAGCCTTACCAACGCGATTCCGTTAAAACAGGTCATTTTTTGACTTTTAGCCCTTATTTTTCGTAAAATAGAAAGTTATGCGGATTGAGACTTTCAAGATTTTTCAGGTACATCAAGAAGTGTCCTGACCGATTTTTTCAAAATTACCAACCGCAGAATATAATAACCTCTCTTGTTGGTGGAAAAAAGATAATTTTCTGGATTTCCAGGGAGTTCTCCGCACAACGCAGCCTCTCAACTACACCCAGAGCAAATCCTACATTTTGACCGTTGTCGCGAATGATTGCGCCATGAGGTTTTGGAACGAAACAAAATTGAAAAGCCAATGAAGGCCATTTCAGGAAGAGCAAAAGCGCTCTGGTGACAATCCATGTTGACGAGAAGTGCGTCCAGGGCGTCAATGGCGTCAACGAGCGGTGATTTTTCGAAATTTTCAAGATTTTTAGCCAAAAACTCATGAAATTTGACTATTTGATTCGAAATAAAAAAAATAGGAAGTCCATATTTGTTTGAGGCTAGACAGATTTTCATGCCGTTTTTCATGGTAAATTCCGCAAAATTTATATTTATTTCTGACTCTCCGAAATTTTTTTATCTTTTTTTCAGTCTCTGACGGCATTTTTGTAATTTCGCATCACTTTAAACACGGCATTAATTCTGAGAATGGAGGAAATCATGATTTTTTTTTTTTTGAAAAAACTTTTTTTTCCATCAAAAAAAGGCGGAAGAATCTTCGATTCCTGTCCTTTTTGTTGTCCGAAAAACAAAAAGAAGTTTGAAGGAAAAAAATTCGCTCTTGAGCAAGAAAAATTCAACTTTTTTTCGTCAAATAAGACGTTCCGAAAAAATTACGCATAAAAAAAGTATTTTTACCTTCATTTTTTTCTGTTATTTTTCCGCAACTACAAATGCCGAGCTTGTGATTGGATTTTATAGGGAAAAAAATTAAAGTGAACTGAAAATTTTTTTAGATAATAAAAAAATTTTTTTGCTTTTTCACGCGCGATTTCGAAGCTTCAATTTGAACTTATTTTTTTATATACTTTTGAACTGAAACAAAAAAAGTCATGTGAGAAAAAAATGCTCGGTTTTTTTAAACGAGAAAACAAAAAAATCTTTGTTTTTTTGTTTGAACCCTTCGAATTTTTATTTTTGAAAAACCGGTAAAATTTGAATAAAATCAATTTTTTTCTCATGTTTCGATTTTCGCGAATTGAAACGGCGTGGTCGCAATCGGAATGGCTCGTTATATGTAATATGTGTTTGAGCGCAAGTCGCTTCGGGTCGGTCGCGCTTTGAATCAACTTCTTTTTCACAGTTAAGAGCTGAGCCATTCCAAATGCGACCAAATTCGATTAATTCCAATGAGGAGCCAAGCGCTCTAGCCTCTTACCTGAATGTTTCTCTTTTTTATTCATTCAATTTTTTTCCTGTTTCAGGGTCAACTACAACCCTGGAAGCGGCAGTAAACTCCTTCTGCCCGACGTCAACCTGGAGTTCTGCGAAACTGTTGGATTTATTTCTGAATTATGATAGAAGTTTCTGAATATTTTAGGACGCCGTCTGCGAGCCGAAGCACGTCGAAGCTGTAGTTGAACTTCGAGCTGGACATGTTACGCAAGGCTGCGCTCGTGATACCGTCTACGACAACCAGACCATCCAATCGTGCGCCTCAGGATTTTTCAGATTTAGAAGAAGTTGACTTCAGATGCGGGCTTTCCCCAGCCACGGTCCGACTCCTGAACGAGAAAGAAATCGAGACTTCGGCTGAGAATCACGTCGTCGAGATGGAAGGCGTCGAGTTCGACGGAACTCGTGGCGTCGTCGTTGCTGATGACAAGTTCAAGGGTGATTAGGAATTTCTTCCAAATCACTCTTATCGGAAGTTCTTCAGGTCTGATTCCGGACAAGTTTACGCTGAGCTTCTCGATGAAACACGCCGCTGGAACCAAGGAACAGCAGAACAACAAGCAGAATATTCTCTGCGAAAGCGACGACTTCAGTCAGTATTCGTAACACAGGAAATAGTGAAAAAAAAGGAATTATCTCAAAAAATGAAGAATATTCGATAACCGGCTTTCCAACGTTTGGAAACCACATAGAATATCTCCACGGAGTTTTGAAATTTTTTTTTTTGTAAGTTAATCTGTAGCTCCGCCCGACCTCGGGATTTTTCAACTGTGCTGTAGGATGGCACTGCGCGCAAGGCGTTTTTTGTCGGTTGCGTTTGAAAAGCTCGTTTTCTAGATGCGTGTTTATCCATTCCAAGTTAAAAGTATGATATACGAAAATTACTATCGAAAGAAGAGCACGACTAACTTTTTTTTTGCCATCGGGAAAGTGTCTATGTAAAAAGTTGATGGTTTTGGGTACGATTTTAAAAAAAATCTATCTGTGAGGTGTTAAGAAAAAATTGTTCGAGGTTGGTAAGAAAAGCTGAAAACTGAACTTGTAAGTTCCAAGCGAATTTCCTGTAATACTGCAATAACTGCAGAATAATATTTATATTAACAGAGAAATCCGAAGAAAAACAGATTTTCCGTTTTTTCCTGGTCATTTCCGCGAAATTGGGCTGTAGGATGGCGCCGCGCGCAAGTATTGTTTCGTCCGTTGCGCTGAATATTGAGTTCCGTGAAAAGTCTGTTAACCCGATGCATTTTTCCATACAACATTGACAATGCTAACACTGTAAACTAACGGAAAAGCCCAGAAACTAAGTCTTTCAAAATTTGAAGCAACCCCTCTGAAATAATCTTTTTCTTGACAAAAAGCGCGAAGAAAATCAGATTTCCAGTATTTTAGTCTTTTTGTCAATGCTCTAAATTATACAATCGATAAATTTTTTTTTATTCCCAAGTGATTTTCCTTGACACTACGTACCAAAAAAGCTTTGTCTCGTTTTGGGATCTATACAGACTTTCCCAGATCCAAAAGTTCGACCGAACTCCAACAAGTTCTTCTTTTAAGCTGAACTTTGGGGATTCAGACATGAACCGCCACCACTTCTCGGCCTACATCCGCCATTGCAAGCTCGAGGTCGTCCTCCGCCGTGAAGCCAACGCCGCCGCCGACTTCCGAGCTGCTGAATGGCGATGGAGCATGCCTGAGGTGCCGAATGAGCTCTCAGAAGAGAGAAAAAGGTCCGATCTCAGGTGTGCGACAATGAGTGGCACTCCTATTCGCTGCTCTTCAACGGAATCGACGATGTCAGCGTGATGGTCGACGGGAAGGCTTTCAAGGCCGACGAACGGAATCCGGAGATCCTCGACGATTGGCCGCTCCACAAGACCAAGCAGCTGGTTGGTTTTTTTGAGATAAAAGAGAAGAGAACTGATTTTTAAAGCTTTAATGGCGTTGATATGTTTATTTTTCGTCTACAATTTGAAGAATACAAAAAATCATAATTAAAAATTTAACTTTACATGTACAGCTTCTCTTTGTGATTCCAAGGGTATATTCAGAATTCATTATTTTCTATTTTTATTTTTATTGATTGAGGAAAGGTCATTTATCGACTTATTCAAAGTCACTTTTCTGAAAAATGCGATTTCGCAGAGTAAATCGTTAAATACGCTATTAAGATCAATATTTAAAAAAATTTCGAACTCATTTTTTCGGCTTCCATTCGTCTACAAAAAGATGAAAAAGAAGAAAGGTCTTCAAAAAAATTCGAGTTTTTTTCAGGACATTTTTTTCAGATATCTGTCATTTTCTACTAAAGAAAAAAAGAAAAAAATTCTGATCAGATTTATATTTTTTTATTATTATTGTCCTTCCGCAGAAGACGAAACTTGTGGTCGGAGCCTGCTGGCACGGACGTCAGCAGCAGATGGCGCAGTACTTCCGCGGACAGCTCTCCTCGATCTACCTCCTCAGCGGAACCGTCGAAAGCCAAAGCGCGATCAAGTGCGCCCACACCTGTCCCGAACAGCTCCAGTTCACCGGCATCGATGAACTTCTCGAGGGACAGGTTTTGAATCAACTACATTGGACTGAAGAAGTGTAAATCCTACTTTTTAGAGCGCCACTTTCTCCCCTGAACAGACGACGGTCACCTTGAAGGCTGGAACTCCCAAGCAGATCGCCCAGATGCTCAGAAGAGTTTGTTTTATTTTTGTCTAGGAAAGTGCGCTCCAGCGAGAAAATATCGCTGAGAAGACCTCTCTTTCGGAGGTTTCTGTGAATTTCTAGGGATCACTTAAGAGTACTGCCACCGCTAAAGTGGTCACTAGATTTGTCCGGTTTGCGTTTCCAAGGTCCAAATTCCAGGCCCTAGACTTGAATGAAGAACCTATTTTTGAAAACATTTGAAAAGTTCTGGCATTTTTTTAAACTTGGTTGCTCGTAGAATGGCTCTAAGCGGCGTGGTTTGAGTATCCTAAGGATTTTCCATGTCCCTTTGCGAAAGTCGCTTTAGGTCGGGCGTATTAGAAACCGCGTTGCGCACATTGAACCATTCCACGTGCGGCCAAGAGTTTCGAAGTTGGGATCGTTTCCGAGTGACTTGGACGATTTGTGATTGATACATTTTTTTTTAGTTGCTTTCAATTAGTTTTGAAACTGGAAAAAGTCGAATTTTGCACCGGAATTCGTAACTGAAGGTTCCCGCTAATACTAATATATTTTCCATCCAGAAAGTCTCCAAATTTCTTTTCCGATTTATCTCAAAAAATCTCCAAAGTGCGTGCAATCGCCGCCGAATAAACTATAAAGAATTATTGTCCTGCTCCACTAAATATTCAGAATATTTGATGCGCGCGAGCTTATAAGAAACTTGAGAACCTCCCAGGAAGTTTTCTTTTTTTTTGGAATGGCATATTTGCCCCGAGGCCAACCAATTCTGAATAGCAAACATGGCTTGATTAAGTCAAAAAGCCGAGATTTTAGGTCGCCTACGTCAATACCCAAGAAAAGCCGACCCCCGGACACAGGACTTTCCATGTTTCCACGGAAGTCACTTGCAAACAAGACGAGAAGAAGGTTTTGGGAGAAAAGGCCGCATTTTAAAGACGTCCGACGGGTTCAGATGAAGCTGCAAGACGCCAAGGGCTACGTCTTTGTTCAGCATGTCGCCGTGCCCACCTTGTCCATCTCCAGCTCGTCGGTTCTGACGTCATCTCAGCACAATCTGAAAATCGGGACGGCCATGGTCCCCGACCTGCACATCACCGTCAGCCAGGCCAACGCCGGTGAGCATGGGTTCTGGGGGAAGAAATAGCCGCGAAAAATAGCTCTCATTAAAAAAAATTTAAAAAAAATGAGCCACCCTGATACAGTTTATAAAAATAGCCGCGGAAAAAATAGCTGCATTGATAAAAAAAGAAAAAAGGGCCAAGAAGAGGAAAAAAAAGAATCTGTCCAAAAATCAAATTTTGCTGCCCTTTTACCGTTTCTCTTTCGGTAAAACTAACCGGACACGCTTCGGACGTTTCTGAGCCATTCTAGGGATCACTTAAGAGTGCACATGCTACTTAAGTGGTCACTAGAATTAATTCAACACGTCCAAAGCGCGCCTGGCTTGCCTTACCAAGACCCAATTTGAAAGAAGTATGAAGATAGTTTAGCATTGGAGCATACATTCCAAGCTCCTTACGGTTTTTTTTTCCAATATTTTCAATTCTAATCGATAGAACGACGTTATTTTTGATGGAAATCTTCAGATGGCGAGATCGAAGACGTGACGACGCAGCACAAGCTCGACTACTGCAAGATGCACCTGCGGCCGGCCCGCGACATGGACGTCGAGTACTTCTCCTCGCCGGCGTCGCTCATCGCGTCGATGAACATCGAGTTCGAACACGACAAAGACGTGAGGAGCGGCTCCATCAATTATACATGAATGTCCGAGGAGTGGGTGGGAAACGGGACAAGTTTCCTCTTTTGGAGACGTTTCTGACAAGTCTTACCACTTCTTATGTATAGTTTGGTTGGAGTAGAAGAAGGAGGGAAATTTCCTTGTTTAGGGGTTTTTCTAGAAGCTTAAAGTACTTTGCAGTTTGAGAAAAAAAAAGTTCCAGGGGAATATTTATTATTTTGAAAATGTATGTGAGTTTTTGTGGAGAATTATAAAAGGAGAAGCAAATTCCGAACGTCAAGTTTTGACTTGCAATAAATGAAAAATTTCTCAAAATTTTCCGGCAAAGTTTGTCCAAAGTTCTCAATCAAATCATGAGAAGTACGTTTTTCCTATTACAAAGAACTAAAAGAAATAAAACCCAAAGAGTTTTTTTCTTGAGCTTCATTAGTTTAAATTATCATTTGTTCCAGGTAAAAAGTTTTATTTTTTTCTAAACGAATGATGAATCACCACTATTGATTTCCAATAACTTCAAAAAAATAATTTAAGGTTGGGCTGAAACTGAAATAATAAAATTGTGAGTTTTACCTGAAAAAGTTTGAACTTTTGAAGCGAATTTTTAAGATTTTCTGAACTTTTTCGAGTTTTGAAAAACTTCAGTTTTGGCATAAATTGGAGTCGTGAGATCTTTCAGAAAACATCTATCAGAAAAAAATTTGAGAAATTCTCAAACTGATCAGCCAAATTTCAATCAGCAAAAAATTGGAGTATTAATTTTTCCTTTTCTTTTTTTTCCTTTGGATGAAAATCCCGAAAACCTCCACTATATTTCTTATTCATGCGCTCTTTTTTGCAATTGTGTGTGGCTGGTTCCGGCTCAAATTTCCGCTTATGCCTCTCAAGCATGTGTCTGTTTACTTCTACTCCAGCTCCCAAAAACTTGGGCCCACATTTAGTTTTGAGGAAGCTCTCAATGAAGAGTGATTCATGGCCCAAAAGTATTGGCAACACTTGATATCCCCCGGAAAAAGAAGGCAAAAAAGCAAAGTCGTCATTCGCTGAGGGCCAGAATTCCTCCGGGACTGGTTGTTTTCGTGAAAGTCGGGTTTTCCAGTTCGAGCGGACTTTTTCGAAATGAGACGGACTTTATTTGGAATCGAAGTCTCGAACTATTATAGTTCAGTAAGGCAAAGCTGAAAAATTTTCGAACAAGGATTTTTTTTCCAAGAAAAATCTCGAAAGAAGATCACAATCAGACGTTAGTTTCCAGAAATTGATGATAAAAAATCTGAATTTGTCATTTTTATAGTAAAAATGGTGAATAGTTGGATTTTTTTAGATACTATTTAGGAAGTCTAGCTCCTATGAAAAGATACACGAGTTTCCTGTTTCAAACTTTGCTTTGAAAAATAATACGGGTTTTATTTATTTCCATTCATCTCTCTCTTTGTGTCCATCACTTGTCTCCTGATTTCTTCACAGATGATGTTTTTTTGTGAATGAAATAAATCATCATTATAAAAAAAATAAGTGTAGCGGCTTCAGAGCTCGAATCTCGCTTGTGCCTCAAAAAAAAAACCGCCTTGATCTTCAAAAAAGAGCCAGCGGCTAATGATTTGGAGATTTTAGGCGGAGCCGTTTTGAGTACAAATGAAAATAAAACATTTATTTAAAAAAATTTCAAGCTATTCAAAAACGTGAAATGAATCGAAATTTGCAGGGAATCCTGCTGCGTGGCGAAGAAAGCATCCAAGGCTACAAGGAGGTCCTCTCCAAAGTCCACTACTTCAACACCCGGCCGGAGTCCTACAACAAGCGCGTCTACGCGATCCAGTGCGCCATGATGAAGGGACGAGTCCTCAGCAACGAACTCGTCGTCACCGTAAGACTTTTGGGTTGGCTTAGTGGTTAGGGAGCCGGATTGGTGGTCAGAGGGTCACGGCATCGGCTCCGCTGTAGCTTCATTCACCGTGAAGCGCTTTCAATTTTATTACTTTTGAGAGTGGTTGACCTGAAAGTCGTCACAAGATCATGTTATCCATGCCGATCATGGAAAGATCTGAAATCTAGATTTCACATAAAAAGTGGATAGGAAGATCTATGAGGAATTGTTTCTAGCTTTCAAAAGTGTCTAGTATGAAATATTCTTCTTCGAAAAAAAAGTGTTCAGAAAAAAAGAATAGAAACAAAGAATACGCTTAGAAATAGACAAAGGCAAGAAAAAGTCCGAAAAAAGACACTGAAAGAAAATTTTTGTGTTTTTTCAGAAAGCAGCTCTCTAATGCTTTTTTCACTAGGACAATTTTTTAAAAATCGAAAGATCTTTTGGATTTTTTTCGTGTTAGACAGACCTTAATATATACTTTCTTTTTTTGATATTTCATCTTGAATTCAATTTCCTAGAACTCCTCGAGTTGAAAATCATTTTTCTTTAAACCACAGGATGTACACTAAAAAAGCTGGATTTTCATCAGAAAGTGTCTAGGATTGAATTTTGTTCCTGATAGTATGATATATGTAATTTTCCGAATTTTTCAATCAACTTGCTTAAAAACGGCGTCTGCACGCACTTTAGACTTTTCCCCTTCTCGGAAATTCTCTCAAAACATTCCCTTTCCAAGAATGATCGAGGACAAGTAGATGTCTTTCCCAGCCGAATAAATAAATGAATTGGCTACCAAAGTTCGTTGTTTTTGGCTTGTTCCGGAGTGATCGCCGAGGCCTTCGAAGACCGAGGCTTTTGGTCTCTTTTCCGTCGGCAAGGCGTGTGATTTGGCCATTTCCTCGCAACAAACACACGTCCTCACGCGTTTGAATTAATTGCGAACAGCGCCAATCTCGCCTTCATACCGTAGGATTTTCCTTCGTCTTTTATTTTTCCGCTCGGCGACGTCACACGTTGAAGCTGGATGACTCCGCGACGAGGAATACGATACATTTTTTGAAAGGGGTTTTTTTTGAAAAAATTAGAGAAAAAGCAACAGGTTTTCAAATTTTTGAAGAAAGTTCATTCTCTACGCATTTGAGGTTCAATTGGCTGACTTTATTTTTCTCAAAAAATTGAGAAAATTGATTTATAAAGCATATGTAAAATCTACCAGAAATCCAATTTTTCAAGATTAAAATTTTCTTCAAACCATTTTCTAGCTTAAAAATTCGAGACGCTCTGGTTCACAAAGTTCAAATTATATTTGAGCACATTATGCCGACAAATTTATTCAGTCAGTTGCCCGGGGGACGAATTAGCCGTGGAGCGTACTATTTCTGAAGTTTTATGCGGCTGTTTTGTCCCGGTCGTTTGTAGAAATTTCAAAGAGGCACTATTTTCGGTTAAGTTGTTCCAAGATGTTCTGAATTTCAAAAATAGCCCTTCCGAACCAGTTTCAAATTACATAGTTCAGAAAGTTTCGAAATCCTAAACGTTGGCCGCAAAGCGAACGCCTCCTTTCTGTTGCGCCGAAAGAACCCGGCACAAAAAAGAAGGAGAAGAAGAAGTTGAAGAGAGTTGAGAAAAGGAGCTTAGCCCCGAGCCTCGATTTAGTTTCATTCGGTGGCCCCCGCCATTCATCGATTTCGCCTCCGGGCAAAAGTTGTCGGCCCTTTTTCGGCAGTCGTGGGAACACCGACCATCCGCTTTTCATCAAAACTCCTTCTTTTTCCTTCTCCTTTTGACCCTCGACGTCGTCTTTTTTGCCCCACAAGTACATCACTTCCCTTTCAGTGAAGACCCCATTCAAAAAGAGAGAAAAAAAACGGAGAAAGCTCTCGATCCTGAAGAATTTCAAGCGGCAGTGTGCTTCCGCCCAATTGGAAATTCAGAAGAAGGACGATTTTAGTCCGATCTTTTGTTTAATACCGGATTTCTTGATCTTCTCTTGGTGAATAGAATAGTCGAGTGGCTCTAAAGGGTTGAGGATTTTTTGGATTTTTCTCGAAAGGAGGAATTTTTTCCGGTTTCGTTTTTGAACAATAAAAGGTTACATGGGGGTAAGTGATCAAAAAAATCAAATTTCTTTCGATATAATTTTGTGATTACTTTTCCGACATTTTTTGAGATATTAGACTAAAAATGTTAGCTTTAAAGCATCTCCCTGGCACAAAGAATTTTTTTTCAAGACTTATCGATTATTCAGTTTTTTTACATCATAAAGGAACATCTATACTTTTTCCTTATTCATTCAAATGTTCCTTCTGAAAGCTTTTTTTGAGTCGAATATTTGATCATATCACGAATTGGCGTGCCAAGTTTGAAAAAAATAGCGCTTTTTTTCTGAAAAATAAAGAAATAAAAAAATTTTTCAAGGCAAAAAGGAATGACCTTGGCTCGATTTTTCGGACCCCTGCCCTCCAATTTAAGCTTGATAGCTTTGAGCTTTGCAAGTTTTTCAAGCCGTGATAATAAATAAATGAAGATAGGAGTTCCCAACTTGTCCGCGACTATACATATTGAGAACTTCCAGCACGCGGAACAAGAAAAAGTTGATTCTCCTCTAAAGACCTTCACGGTAGAATAACCAAGGTATTTTTGGGCAGTAGACGTAATCGAGAAGGAAAAAGAGAAGAGATGAAAGGCTTGTTTTCACAGATGGGTGAATCTTTTCCAGAGGGATGGAGAGGAGCTGATGAGACCCGCCTGAGGGCACTCAATAAGCAATTGCCTTCGTTTATCATCCTCCTCGGGACGTCCGATTCTTCCCCCTTTCTTCTTATTTTTGGGAGTTATACGGATTTTTATTTTGATCATTTTTTCTTAGGTTCTGTTCAGAGTGATTTCGCAGAATTTGAAACAGCCGTCATTTTGAACACGGCCCTAGTAGGGATGCCTTAAGTAAAGATTCAAATAAAAAAATTTGATCCTAAAATAAAGTTTCATTGTTTTATTAGGTCCATCTGAAACCTTCAAGCTGTCTAATATGAAGATCAAGTTGCAATCCTGGTTGTATTTTTGGAAAAATTCGTCAGTAAAATATTGTTTTTTTCTGAAAATAAGTCGCAAAGAGGCACATTTAAGGATCGACTTGTAAGTTCTGTACAACTTTTCGTTTGTAATTTTGAAAATCAGATAGTTTGGAGTAGCATTATCCTTATAGTTCTGAAAATGAAAAAAAATACAATTTTTTCTAAATAATAATAGTAATAATATTTTTTTTCCTTTAGTCTTGTCCAATGTTCTTCAAAAAAATGTTTTTATAAATCTCAAGCCAAACTTTGAAACATTTACATGATCCGAAACGGACTTCCCATTAGCTTTTCACATTTGGCGAAAGAGCAAAAGTTGGGAAATGGCGTCAGTTTTTCTTTTTCTCTTTTGCAAAGCAACCTTTTATTCATAAGTCAACTTTCCTCCTCGTTTTCCGCCATTTGAGACCTCGTTTTACATCAGTCTTTTTCAGTTTTTACCCTCAACTCTTCAAAATCCATTCTTTCTCGATAAGGGCTCTTCATAAACATCTCCTATGCATCGAAAATCTTCCAGGGTTCATCATTTTGTTTACTCTTTGTGTTGACAAACTAAAGGGATTAATACAGGAGTGGATGTCCCCCCGGAGGAAACGAAAAACAAGTCGTCATCACTGCGAAATTAATACTCGATTCATATTTTGCTTCTTCAATTTTTTCCTTCAAAGCAAAACAATTTATCCAGCTGCATTCAAAAGGTCATTTGCGCTCCAACGCAAAACATGCCGAAGATGGGAAAACGCAAAATATTTGTCGACAAGCTTCTTTTTTGTCGTTTTGCTCTTCTTGGGGGGGGCGAACCTGTGACCTTCTGATTCATAACCTGGCGTGCAATCCACTTTACCATCTTCTCATTGATTATTCTCAATATTCTGATTCAGATGACGATCGAAGGAGCGCCAACGACGACGACGACTACAGAAGCGCCGACGGTCTTCCTCAACACTGGCGATGGAACTTTGGATTCGTTGGAACTCATCGAACGTCATTTTGAGCCCGAATTCGACCAACTCGGCAGCTCACGTCTTCAGGTTTGTAACGGAAAGGAAAAAAAAACGCCGAAAATGCGACAATGAACGAAATCACATATTAGATCAAGCCTGAACAAAGAGTTATAAAGAAAGAAGCTAGAAATTGAGTTTTTTGTGGGATTGGTCCGTGGAGCGCTCATCTACGGAAGTTTCAGCTTAAGAAAATCAGTATTTTTACTTTTTTCGAGAGGTCTGTGAAGCGGAAACGACTTTGATTCTAGAAAAAAACTGTTTTTAAAAAAAGTTCTTTTTGGTTCCAATAAAAAAATCATTTTTTTGATCCATTAACACGCAGAGGTTTCGTCACTGAAGTTCCGTATCAAAAGAACTTCAACTTTTTTTGGCTCCAAAATTTAAAAAAAATCAGTTTTTTTATGAACCTCTTGTCAATGGAGCGCATATGAACCTCAATTAAATCATTGTAATCAAAATAAACGGCTTATTCAGCCTCATCTTCAAACCTGAAAAACTTACTCAGAACTTCTTCTTGAGATTTAAATCTCAAGAAAAGGTTTTTTTTCTCATGCTGAATAAGATGAAGGAGATATTTTACCTCTCAATAATGTAAACATAACTTAAGGACTATGTAGCTAAATTTTCCTTATTTTTGGATACCCATTATCAAAAAAACAATTTTATTCGAACTTATATAAAGCTCAATTATAGTTGGCAACTGATGCTAGTCTGTTTATTGTGGAAGATTGAAAAGTTAAAAAAAAAACAGAAGAGGCCCGATTTCTGAACCGAAATTGCTTAGTCACTTCTTCTTTTCAAGAACAATTATCATTGGAGCTATTTTTCTACTAGGAATGAGCCCAATTGAAGATTTTAACTATCATAGATGCTGCGGGAGCTCACACCACCTCATTTGTCCAAAACACAAAAAAATGAATGAGAAGCTCAATTTTCTGAGCCGCGGTTGTTTCGTCACTACTTCGCTTCCGGACCCATTATCACTGGAGCTCTTTTTCCCCCACTAGGAATAAGCCCAATTAGAGGTGCTAACTCAGTGGCAGACGGCGGCGCCACGAGGAAACGAGGCCAATTTGGAGGCCTCTCGTGTTTCCCTTGAGCGGTTTTCTGAGCACGGCTGAGCTCAGCGAGCCAGGAGCAAATAATTTCGGGCTTGTGGGGGCGGAGCCTCTCGAGATTCCGTCTCGATATTCGTTCCTAGCAGTTGCACCTTCTTTTTTTTCTCTTCTTCTTCGTCTCAAATCTCGCCTCCGCTCCTTTTAAGAATATCGGAAATTATGAAGTTTGGACTTTGAAAAAAATCCAGATTTTTTTAAGATTTTTTTACACCGTTTAGAGTTTAAGCTCATTATTTGTTTTTTTACTTTTTGAAAATAAAATTTGTCTTGAAGGCCTTATTTGAAAAGTTCATGAAAATTCGAAAAATTCTGAAAACTGTCCATAATCGTTCAAAAAAATTTTCGAAAAATAAGTATTGATTTTTTTCTCATTGGTGAATTTTTTTATATATTTTTATCAAAAAAATCTTGATTTTTTTGGATAAAAAAAATAATAAAAAAATAAAAAGACAATAAAAAAATTAATTTATTTGAAAATGAGGTTTGACAAGCGAAATCGACTAATTTTTGAAATTTTTTCCCTCGGAATGTGGGCGAAACTACCTGAATAATTGGATTTTGTGATCATTAACGTGTGAAATTCAACGTTTCCGGCATAATATTGCAAGTTCCTGGTTTTGAAGTTTTTTTTTCAAGTTACGAAACATTTCAGTAAATTCAACGAAATTCTCTTGATTATTTTGTTTTTGAGCCGAATTTTTTTTTTGAGAATAATTGTGTTATATGAGCGACTTGATCAAAATTAAATTGCTGCTTTTAATTTGAAGTTTTTTTCGTTTGACTGAAACCGAGAAGGTTTTTAATTCGATGGGTGACGTAATTTCTGAAGTTTTCGAAAAGAAACACACAAAGATTCAGGAAACTTTTTCGAAAGCTATTTTAGATGATTTATTTTTTTGGAGATGGCTGGGAAAGTTTTTTAAAGGCCACTATAGAGACTCGCCAAGGACTACTTGGAGAGGACAAGTGGTCCCTCTATAGTAGCCACTATTTTCCGTTTTTGTGGCCACTTCAGTAGTTTTTCATCCTCCAGTAACTCTGATAATTTTAAAAGAAACAGATTGGACCAGTTATGTTGATCCCATGACCCCTAAAGTGGCCACTCAAATTTTTTGTGTTCTAGTAGTAGCACTTAGACCCCAAAAATGGCCACTAAATTTCATCCCCTTAGTGGCCACTAATTTTACTACTGCAGTGGCCACTAAAAATTTTCCCAGAACTAAAATAATCTGTATATTCAAAGAAAAATGACCTTTATGATTAATAATTGAACTTTTCTCAAGTGACACTCTCTGAAGCTTCACCCAGTCGATCAGAAACGACTTTAAGCAATTTTTAAAATTTAAAAACTTTCCAATAAAAAGGATCTTTTTTTAGCTTTTATATTTTAAATTACGAACTGATTTAAACCAGTTTTTCACCAGGATAAGGAAGAAGTGGAAGGAAAAGAAAAGAAAAAGGTCAGACTCTCGTATGAAAGTGACAGGCGGAGAGCGAATTCAATTAAAAAAAGAAGGGGCGCGAGCTTTCGAGCCCTTCTGACCATCCTCGGGACGCCCCGTGCGCAAATTAAAACCCTCTGTTTCCGTCCGCTTTTTCGTCTTTTTTTTTCTTCCTTCAGCCTTTTCTTGCTCAGAACTCGCGACTTTCCGTGCTATTTTGGTGTCTCTTTTGGTCATTTTCAAGCCGGGTGGTGTGCCTTTTTCAGATTCAATTTGGGAAAATTGGATTTTTTTTTTGCCAGTTGCGATTTTTGGTTTTGGAGGAATTTCTTAGTATCATTGGGATTTGGTTGCTTTCTTAGAAGCACCTGCGTTTTCTGAGTTATCTAGGAATCTAGGGAGCAGGTGTTTTTCATCAGTTATGATCCTGGAAAGGCGGATTCGATAATTTAAAGAACTTTAAAAAAAATTATATTTTTGTGACGATTCAGTCAGGTTTCTACGGTTTTGAAACGCTTTTTTCTTCTGCGGTTTTGATTTCTTTACTTCACTGTTTCAAGAACTGATTAAGATGTTGTAAATTTTAAATTATTTCAATCAAAGAGGTCTTATGTTTTAAAAAAATGTTCATATGATATTTCTCTCGTTTACTGTTTATTTTCTCACTTCAAAACATTTTTTTCTCAAACTATTTTTTTTTGGTCAATTTGAGTTCTCATTCTTAATTAATTTCAGAACATCCTCGAAATGGACTTACCGCGACCCAAAGCCCTCCTGTCACATCACGGATACGACGTTGGTCAGGGAGCCATTGCCGGTTCGTTTTCATTTCAAACAAAAAAATATATTTCCATATTGATTCCATACGAGCTTCTTCTTTAAGTTTGGAGGCTTTGTATCCTCTAAAAGTTGTTGAAAAGTTAAAAATCTAGACTTTTGCGCCTCAAAATGTTTCCTTCTATATTCTTGCAAGGCTCCTTATTCTTTGAGAAAAAAATTCAGAATCAAGAACAATTTTTCAGGAGGAGCCGTAGCAGTCGTTGTAGTCGTATGCGTTGGTTTCCTGTTGGTTTTGTTGGTTATCGGAGTTTTGAAAATGCGCGACACGCCCCTCCCACGACGAAGAAGGCAAAAGCGCGTTCAGGTAATCGATAAGTTTTGAACCCTAAAGTGATCCCTACAGAATGAAATTTTATGTTTTTGAGTAATAGATAAAACCGTTTAATGATTGATTGACTAGTAAATTTTTAAAATACTTGAACTTTGGAAGAAAATTGATTCAAGAACCAAGATAACACTGATTTATAAGGCTTTCGAAGATTTTTTCTGAATCAGGGAATTGAGTAGTTCGATAGAGCGCATTTGTAAGATATTTCTGAATATACTGGTCAATTAACTAAGTGATTTTTTTAATTTTTATAAAAAAACGTCTTTTTGGCTGGAAACACTACTTTTTATGCGAGAATTCGAACTACGTAAATTACAAAAAAATTCGTTATAAATTAACTTTTTTTATTTTTAGAAAATGTGCAGTTTTGGAGTCACTTAATTTTTAAGGAAAAAGATTTTTCCGAAGTTCCTAAATTTCCTCTGTGAGTCTTCGAACCTTCATCAATGTCATTTTTTCCTCGATTCTAAAAAAAACCAGATGAAGTTTATTTGACCTACGAGCGTTTCTTTTCTGTTTATTTTCTCACACCGAGCGTTTTTCTGAAGTTTATAACTCTTTTTTTCTTTCCAGAGCGACGGAGGCTTGCACTGGGATGATAGTGGGATGAACATTACTGTGAATCCTTTGGACGACGTCGAGAAAAACGAAGTCGTCGACGAGTTCAGTGACGAGGAGTCCAGCGACGGGGAAAGGTAGGAATTTGTGTTTTTGGAGAATCGGTGTGGATTTTATCCTGAAAGCAGAGTAGTTTGATCAATTTCAGAACAGAAAAAAATATTTAAAAAGTAGAATATTTAAAATTTCAGTTCTAGTCACCTTGCCTCAAAACAAAGAAGAAAAACTTTTTTTTTGAATTTACAAGTTATTTTTGCGATGAAAAAGAAGGCCCTTGAGACGTTAAGAAAAAAATACAGTCCCAATTTTTCAAACATTTTTTTGAGAATTAATTATCAAAATTTGGTACAAAAAAACTGAGGTTTTTTTGATTGAGAAAAAAATTTGAGTTTTTTTCGATTCCCACGTTCACTACTGAATGTAGAAAAAAACTTTATTATTTTTTTCTGAAAATTCATTTCGACCATTTTATGCATGACTCATTTCCCTGACCTTTTTTTAATTCTCTGTAAAAAAATTTCGAACCACTCAAAAAGCAAAACAAAAACCAGCGCAGACTTTTTCAAAATTGCCCTCCTCAATTAAGACGGATTACTGTAACGGAACCTCGAGACCACCCATCCGCCCACCTTCGAAATCAACTGACAGAAATGAAGAGACATAATTAGAAGCTTTTTGCGGCGGGAAATTGGCCCAACTTATTTTCTTCTCAAAATTGAGCCAATTTCGCTCTGCAGACTCCCATTCAAACATCACGTGATGCAGAGAAAGAGAAAAAAAAATTGAGAGCCCAATTTTGTGAAAAAAATTTTTTTCGGGTTAAGAAAAAGTTTTATAAAGAACGAAGATAACGTAGAAATGTGATATCCAGCACTGGAATTAATTTTTTGTTAAAATTACGTCAATAGGGTACAAAAAAACAAAAGGGTTATGATAAAGTCGCAAAAAAATCTATAATTTTTTTGATTCATAAAATTTAAAATTATTAGTTATATTCCCGGCGGCTTTCAGTACCTCTCTTGGCCCAATGATATTACGTTTTTTTCAAAAATCTGAACCTTTTCATGGTAAAGAAATTTATAAGAACTTCAGAAAAAAAAATTCTATTGGAAAGGGAGAATCCGAAAAATAAAAAAAAAGAGACAACAATTCAATAAAGCTCCAATTTTTTTCTTGTTTTTTTATTATATTTTTTTCGAAGAAATTTTTTTATGTTGATTGTGAATTTTTTTATGGATTATCCAAAATTATCTATTTTTTTCTTTTTAATTTATAAAAAAAATACTGATATCGATCAAAGGCTTAAAAAAATGAGTTTAGAAAAAAATCAAGAATTAGGAAAGTTATTTAAATTGTAAGTGTTTTCGTTCTCAAAAAAACCCCGGTCATAAATACCTGCATTTTTCCGCCTTGTTTTTATTTTTCATTTTAAAATCAAAAAACTTTATCTAGAAATATCGAAGTCTCTCTTTTTCCAGCGACTGCTCGTACCACGACGACGAGGAAGTGTCGGACGAGGAAGAAGCCCCGGAGGTGCTCCCCCACCTGGAAGGCAACCAACGGGCCGGCCTCGAATGGGACGACGACGAGACCCTCCCGACCAACGCCCGCTCCTACCGAGTCTGATCCTCCATCCAAACTTGTCCTCCGAGCTTTACGTTCTCCCCTTTGAACTCTGGTACCCTCTTATCTATCCATTCAAGTTATATTTATTGAAAAACTGATCCTCTTCTTGTGCAAAAATAGTCCGATTTGATGTGATTTCTCCCATTTTCAAGTATTCCTCGCATTTTAGTCTCTTTACTCTCACATTATCCGGTTCTTCTTCTTCTTGTCAATCTTACTCGAAAAATCTAGTTGCCATATACATTTTTAACAAATCCCAAAGAGACAATATTTTGCACCCTACAGTAAACTTGTACATTTTGTTTCAAAATATGCAATTACTCACGTTGTTTCTTTGATTATCTGTCCCCTGTGTAGATTATCCTCCTCTGCAATCAAACTTTGAGAAATAATAATACTGAAATATGAAAACTCTGTAAACGAATCTTTCCTTTTTTAGTTGTTTGTTGTCACACATACACTAATTTTTTCTTTACAATAAAGATTAACCAACCAAGGATTTTGTACTGAAAAGAGTTTGAACTCTGGCATGGCCGAGATGAAACGTGAAGCGATAATAGACGTAATTAGGGACAGTTTTAATATCTTACTTCGTTGTGAGAGGTTTGTAGTTTGGTATCTCCACTTCTGGACGACTTTTCAGGAACCCTTGGAAAATCATGCAGATGTTCACGATTAATCCCACGCGCGCAACGAAAATTGTCAACGGAAAGTGTGAAAAAGTTTGTTGGCTTGGAAATTTTTGAAAGAAGAAGCTGGTGATAAATGAAACTATTAAAATTTCCTTGTCGGGGCGAAACAGCTCAAAGGGGCTGTAGATTTTCTGGAAGAAGGATAGGGAAATTTTAAAAATGAAGATCCCGGGAAAAATCTAAAAGTACCTGAAGGAAGGTGTTCAGAAAAAGGCCTTCCTAGCGACTTTTCATGACTTTTCATCAGATTGGTCATTTTTAAAGAGATTAAAAGAAGTTAAAAAGAAAAAGGTAATTTTAAATTCCAGAATAGGAAGTACTGTAAAAAGATGCTCTTTCTTGAATAATTGTTAAAATATCTTGGAAGGGACTTTTTTTAACCTTTTTTTAATCCTTGAAAGGTCGCTTTATTCTAAAAATTTTCATTTTTTTGAAGAAGTTGAGAAGGAAAGTTTCCAGTTATGATTTTTAAAAAAATCAGAAGAATGTGTAGGTTGACGAGGACGAGATTCTGAACGAGGACGACAAGAATTTGAACAAAATCGTGTGCCGTCGATGTTCCTCCGTTATTTTTCCCGCCGACGCCGTCATGTTCGTCAAAGGTCCTTCTACAATTCTTACGAAAAATGAAATATGGATGAAATTTCAGAACAGCCCTACGATTTGAGTATCATGACGCATCAGGTACCTTTTTTTCTTCTGCGAAATTGCATCGCAACTTTATTTTGCCAAAAAATTTTAAAATCCTTGTTTTACGTTCACGGGCAAAGGCTAAATGGCCTCAATAAAAAAGAATAATCTTGAGCTTTTTTTGAGTTCCTTAAAAGGTGTCAAAAGTTTCTCGAAATCGCCTTTTCCCCTGATTTCCACCTCGTTATTTTTTTTCTCCTAGAAAGGTCCGTTGAGAAAAAGGACAAAGAGGCCTGTAGAGCCTTTTTTGGCCCTTCCGGACTTTTCCAGTGCATTATTGGCTATTTTCAGGGCAAAGGAAACCCACCGAAAGAGCGAATCTCGTGGTGGTGGTACACGGAAGACGACATGGTCTTCGATACCGTTGGCTGGCAAACGATCAATAAGAAGAAGGTCTTTTTTGGCGATAATTGAAAAGTCGAAATAAAATTTTATTGAAAAAAAAAATTTAGAAGTGTTCAAGGAAGAAATTTAAAAAAAAAGAGCGTAAGCTTTCCTCGTTTTTTTTTTCGTTCCCAAAAGACCGTATACTAGGCGCTATACCGTATTGGACTAAATTTTACCAAATTTCGTTGTAAGACCTTTATTTTCGTTGTCCCCAAATGTTTTTAGGTAGTTTTTTCCTCTGCGGTTTTTTGAAAACGGGTTCATCTTGCGCCGAAAAATCTATAATTTATTTTAGAAGAATACTTGATCGAAAATATTAATAGCATGCCCCGCCCATCTCGTGCAGCGTCCGCACGCTTTTCGCGGCACAGCAGGCGCATACTTTGAAAGCCCTCGAAAAAAAAACCGCTTTCTAGGTTTTAATGTGTGGCGACTGCGAGTTGGGACCGATCGGCTACAGATCCGAGGACAACCGCCGCTTCTGGGTCGCCGTCGAACGAGTCAAGTACGCAGAATGATCCTTTTCTCCTGTTTTATTAAAAAAAATTTTGATTTTTTTGTTCGTTTTTTTCGATTGTTTTTTTATATTTATATAATGATGGACTTTTTTTAAATGTAATTTTTGGAGGAATGGGGCTCGAGTAGATTTCATCGATCGGAGATTTAAAAAAACAAATGCTTCGACTAAACTGTGTTTTTTTGATTAATCTGTTTGATTTTTGCAATTTTTTTGACAGTTTTTATCCTTTCAAATATATTTTTTTATACAGGGTGTGGCTACTCTTAAGTCCCTCAAAAAAATCTAAAATCAAGCCGCGAAGATCGAACCACTCCACTAAAGAGAGAGAAAAAAATGTCCGCGAAAAAAAATAACTCGAGATCAGAAATCGTACTCACGAAGGAGAAGTATTTACTTTAATCCAAATGCTATTTTTATACTTTGAAATTTGGCGCTTGTACCAGAACTCTTTTTTTATGACACTTTTCTGCTCTTTTTCTGCTCGTAGAACATGGATAAAGCTCTCAAAACTACTTTTCTTCGTTTTTTCTTTTCAAATTGACCCTTTTGAGACTTTCATCGGCTACATCAAGGATCAATTTTGTCAGTTGTCAGAAAGTTCTCTACCATAATTAGCTCACAAGCTCCAGAAAAATAATGTTTGATCTTCTGAACTTTTCGAAGAAGTAATCTGAGGGTGACTGGAAAATGACTTTGCATTTGTTGATAATCTCACTTTTCACAATTCTGTTCATCTTTTTATTTTTTCCTTCCGAGGCAAGGTAAATTTTGAACGTGGGAAAAGCCTATCCTCAATAGGCATATAACCAAAAATTGAAGATACTTATTCGAAAACACGTAAATAAAGTTTTATTTTTGCTTTTCAATCTTTTTCACCCTGTTACTCGTGCTAGTTAAAGTGACGCGTTGCGTACGCGACGCGGCTTTTTGGCAGGAATTCGAGTTCAAACGCAATCGTGGACAAAAATTTAAAAAAATGTTTTTTGTTTTTTCAAACTTTTATCATATCATTCTGAGCTTTTCCAGTACCATAGGACATACAAATTATCGAAAAACCATCAAAAAAAGAAAGAGAACATGTTTCAAGAAAGAGGGATCGCGTTTGACCTCAAATTTCCCGCCAAATAGCCGCGTCGCGTACGCAACGCGTCACCCTTCCCGATCTGCCCATCTCGTTTTTCAAGTCGCGAAGAATTGACTATATCTACCCTAGACTTTTGGATCACACCTGGTTTGGTTTTCACCTCGGAGACCTCCCTCCTGAGGCAAGGTAAGTAGGAGCTCAGTGAAGGTTGGACGCACTAATCCGGGCAAGTAAATAACAAAGTCGGCGAGTTGTTCTCGTTGAATATCCGCGGCCCCACTCGGAGGAGCCGATTTCAACCTTTAGAAAATGCCCACGCGGCTCGTGTTTCCGACTGTTTGCAGAGATGCCGACAAGTCTTTTGGATTTTTGCAGTTCTCGGCTTTTTTTCCCCAAATTTTTTTTTTGCAAGTGTTTGCAGGTTTTTTTCACATTGAAGTTTTGCTCAAGATCTTCGACCATTGGAATTTTCGATACTTTGAATTGGGAGTTCAGATGAGCAGTAGAAGACTCGCTTTCTCCAGAAAAATGATGAAAAAATGAAAATTTAAGGTTCAAAAATGGAAAAAAGTGGGATTCTGTCAATTAATCAACTGATTTGAATCATTTTATAAAGTTTTTTTGATAAATTCTAACAGAGAGGAAATAAGTTGATTTACTCGAAATTCAATTTTTTTCAAAAAGAAAACATGGACTTAAGCACAAATTTTGAATGAAAATTTTTTTTGGTTGATTTTTTTTTTTTAAAGCTTATTATCTAAGCTTGGTAGCTACAGAAAGTTCCAAATCGCGTTCTCAAGTTTAATAACCCGATTCTCGTGACTGAATATTGCTATCTTTTCATTTTTTCTCCACTTTTCATCAAAGAAAATCTCCTCCTCGTCATCTAAAACTTACAAAAAAAGAAGTCTTTCCTGGTTCCGAAGTTCCGGGAGGTCTCATTAATTATTTTCACGCCCTTTCTTCGTTCCTGAAAAGAGGAAAAAAAGGGGAAGCGTCTGGACTTGATTTGACTTCCTTTCACCATTTTTTATAGGTACGTCTCTAACGAGATTTCTGATTGGTTTTTTTTGAAAAATATCTTTTTTTCTAAAGAAAGAGGATTTCTCAATCAGTTTTTTTTTTCTTATCGAGTTTCTACTGTAGATCCTGCTTCATTTGGGCAATCAGGTCTACGATCTTTATTTATTTGTTTTCACTATTTCTATCGGGTTTGTATGTTTTTCTCTAATTAAAAGGGGTTTTATTCAAGCATGGAATATTTTTAAAAGGGAAATAATAGGAAAAAGATTGACGATCTCGGCTCTATTTTTGAAATTTTAAATTTAAATTTTTCGCAAGACCGAGTAAAACTAACTATGAAAATCAATTTAGCTTTAGTTTTCAATATTAATAATTTAAAAATTTCGATAGAAGTCTTCAGAAAAAGAGACAACGAGAATGATAGCTAGTTGAACGTCTTCTACCAGTAGAAAAATTTAAAAAATCTTCAAAAAAATCCCTAGCCGCCATGTGCCAAGTTTCGCTTAGATGCGCAGGTGACCGTCTACCGTAACCCGGCTACAGTAAGAGCGAATGGCTCAAAGATTTGTGTCCGCATTTCTGATGATTGTTCATCACACTGGATGAAGTTTCATTTAAATCAAAAAATAATTTTTTTGTACCCTTGGAATTTTTGGAAAGGTAAAGAGACAGCGTGTTAAGACCCGAAACGGCTGTTCGTCCAGTTTTTTTTTTGGATATCATAACTCAACTTCATTTTTCAAACAAATGGAAAAGTCTTTTTGTTCTTTGAAATAGAAAAAGATCAAAAAACGTGCGACTTCACGACCAGAGTTGTGATTCCCACAAGATTCCCGGAATTTATAAATCTGTCGTCCGAGTCGGTTGTATGGGAATATTTTATCGGAGATTCCTTTCCACGAAAGTTCATTCAAATTCATTTCCTTTGTCCAGGGGCCTGCAATATATTTTTTCCCGGCTAAATTTATTCGGAGGCTATTTTTGAATTTCCTCCGAATTTTTTTTCTTACGTGTTAGGTGTAGGATGAAAACTTGGCTCAAACAGATTTTTTTTAATTTTTAATGTATCTTTCGATTTTATTTTTGAACTTTGGCACGTTTAGCAGATCAAATTTAAAAGTGTAAACGATTTTTGATCAAAACCATCTTCAAAAGTTGAAAATACCCTCTTGAACCTATTATTCCCCTCAATCAAATAAAAAATCCATCGCCATCCGTCTTGAAATTATTTCGCCGAACTCTTGGCTTTTCGGTTGTAATTTTTGAAAAAAGAGCAAAAAAAAACGTCGGACAAACCCATCAATCTTCAACGGTTCGTCTCCTCTATTTTTAAAGTCTGCACTCTTTTTTTTTCGAAAAGAAAAATGAGAGTCCGTTCCGAAAGTTTTTGAAAATCAGCGATTTTGTAGCATAATTTTGGTTTTTTGTTGCACGAGGAAGTTTGGAAAACGTGCGAAATGCGAAAGTTTTCATGAAAAACGGCATTTTTTTGCGTGACCGTTCTTTTTCAAACAGAGAAATTCTTTATAACAAATTTTTTCAGTTTTTTCATTTTCTCGGTGATTTTTTATGAATTTCCTTCCAATTCATTTGACTTAGACTAGGATATTAGGAATTCGATTAAAGATCGAAGAAAGTAATTTTTATCAAAAAATCGACAACGATTCAAGAAGAGCTGTAATGATTTTTTTGTTACTCGTAATCAAATTTTCATGAAATAAATCATTTTTCGCGTTTGTACCTGTTCCCAGTTTTTTTAGAGATATTCAAAAAAATCCACCAAGATCAATCAGCAATCGATAAGTGTTTGACTTTTTTACATAAATTTCAGCCAACTTTCCAGTTGCTCTTTTCTTTCAAATATTCTACAAGAAGTTATAGTTTTAGTAATTTTTATTTAACGGATGAATTGATCTCCTAATAATCTTTATATCAAGGTAATCAACGGAATCTTCAAACAATCGCGAGATTACGAAAAAAAAAAGGTGTTGGCTGGTTAATGAACATGTTTTATTGTCGGAAAGAGCATGCTTTTTATTTTTAAAATAAAATTTCATGTACATCGAAGTTATAGAAAATAACTTCACTTGGGAATTTTTTTGAGTTGGCTTATCCTGATTTTTTTTTCCTAATTTTTGAAGCTGCGTCAGAAAGTTAATCAAATTTTTTTAAAGGATCGTATCTCCTATAAATTATTTAGGCTATCTTAAATCCTCGCGGCCGCATTTGGAATGGCTCAATGTGTCGCGGCTGCGTTTCAAATGTAGTCGGATATTTCCCGAATCCGTTATTAGCTGCAGATCTGGTTTTCATGCCCCTGAGCGAAAGTCGCTTTACGGTCGGAGACAATTTTATTGTAACTGATTATTACGACGCTATGAATAGGTTATAAATTTGCCGTTTTAAATAGACATTTGAGCGCAAGTCACTCTGCAGTCGGGCGCAACTTTATCGTATCTCCTTGTCAATATTTTATTAATAAGTTACAAATCAAAGCTTTGAATGATGCCCTTGAGCGCAAGTCGTTTTTCGGTCGGGCGCAATTCAATCGTAACTCCTTGTCAAGATGTTAGGGATTATTGGGAATGAATGCTTTGACTGGTTTTGGAGATATTTCGAAATAAGCGGTTTTTCCGATGATTCTCTTCATTCCCGGAAAATAAATGGCTGATCGGATCGGAAGCGCTGACAACAGGAGCCACGTGGCGAGACGGCTCTTCTCCTCGCAACAGTTGGCTCTTGTTCTAATTAATTGGCTCTTTTCCGGATCCGATCTTTCCACTGTTTGTCTTGGCCTTCTTCCGTTTTTTTTCCCTTCATATTTATTGCCTCACCTTGATTCTTTTGAAACTTTCTATTCTCAATAAATTCCTCATTTTTAGATGTAAAGT